AAAGGTTCTTGGGGATCCAAGGACTTTGTCTAGTCTGTGGAATGTTACTGGGAGAAATGACTTGTATTAATGGAGAGATCTACACATCTTACAGAGGAGGGAATAAGGTTTAGTTGGGAGAATAAAACCCAAAAACAAAACCAGAAAAGATTGCACGTCCATCCTAGCCATCTCCAGCCTGGAAGGGGTTGGTAAGCCTGCATGTCTGGGATTTGGTCTGAGCTTGGATAGGCTTCAGTTAATCCCTGACACAACCTTGTTGTCTCTATTTTGTGTGTGTGGTTTTCTTTTGAAGTATGTTTAGAAAGATCTTCAGGCACCAAAGGTTGCCATAGCTCCTCTGGGAAAGAAGTGGCTCCTCTGTGGGGTGGCCCCCACGTTAGGTGTGCTCCACTGGCCTCTCTTGATCCCTGGTTTGCCTCCTCCCTCTCCTCTTCCTCACAGCATCTATGGTCAGACTCTGAGAGGCAGGGACAGGGCTTGCAAACAGCTGGCTCAGCAGAGGAGGGGGAGAGCCAGCTGATGCCACTATTAATATTCTTTCAAAATTGATGGATGAGACGATTATAAAATTGCAGAGGGAAGTGAAACTTAACGGATCCATGTTTTAATTGTATTGTGGATGTTTTTCAGCAGCCGGCTTCTGAGATGCAGGACAGATCGAGCATTTTTGTGAGGATGTTGATGTAGGCTGCAAAATGTATTGTTTTTAAAGAAAGAAAAAGGAAAAGATTGGGCCAGTCTGTTTTCCACACTCTGGTGCTCTCAGTCTTCTTCAGTTGTACTGTGTAATAGCATGCAATGTCTAGACAGTAAATCAGATCTGAAATACTGTCCCGATGCATCTAGAGAAGAAAGTCTCCTGCAAGCACCTGTGGTGTCAAGGTGCCCAAGCCTGTGAGGGGTACCTAGGTTCTGGTGTTGTAATTTCCCCTGTGTGCCCTTCATCCCCATGGAAAGGAATGAGGATGCTGGAGCCATCTGGCTTGTGGTGACCGGCAGTGTGGGTCCATGTTTCCTCCATGCTGGCATGTCAACCTTCTGGCACTGACACCTTCCTGTCCATAACACGAGGAAGATCCTTTTTCGGCTGATGAAGCCCTCCTGCTCAGTCTGCAAGTAGCAGTTGCATGCTGCATGAGGTTTTCTTCTAGGCAGGTGTTTTGTTTGAGTATGCTTCATCCACCATTGGATGAGAACATTCTCTAAGTTTCATTTTAACTCAGGCTTTAACAAAATCAGTCTTCTTTGTAGTGTTGTTCCTAGCTTTTCTTTCCTCTGGGACTGAGAACTTCTCTCCACAGGCTCCTTAACTCAAACGTAACCTGTCATAATTCTGCATGTTTTGAAAAAGTACACATATAGGTGGTTTAGTAAAGAGAACAAAGTATCAGTCTTTTCTCTTGCCTCCTCCTGCTTTCTCCCAAGTCAAAAGCTGAGAACAGGACACCTTTCAGGAGTGGGCTCTTTAATTTAAAGTCCCAGTCGTAAAGTTCTAGCATCTTCATCAGACAAGCCTTCTGTTCCCATCAGCTGCAGGGGAAGTTGCTTAAAAGAAGGCATCCTCCGGGGCTTGGAGTGGTGCTGTTTTAAAAGTGAATAGTTTGGGGTGGAGATGGTCTTCTGCCTCAGTGCTTTAGCATGCCTATTTTCTCCACCTCTCTCATACCTGTGTAAGGATTTCTGGGGTCCAATCTGGCTGTGAGGAGCTCCCCCATTTTCCCCTACTTAAGCTCCCTGGGGCAACAGCTGCAATTCCAGTGGTGAGGTTTAGAAATGGGTTCCTCTTGCTTCATTTCCTGCTCTGGAGTTGGTTGGTATTTTAATGGCTGTAAGCTAACATTAGGAGGGATAGCACACCAGGGAGCTGGACTGCTTCAAGAGGAAAAGTTTCTTCTTGCAGGCAGTAAAACAGGCTTGTGAGACGTGGTCGAGATCCCTGTGAGTTACAGAGGTGCCTTGGCTGAGTAGGCAGTGAGTGGGGAAGATGAGAGTGGATCACAACAGCTTTCTTACATCCTAAAGGACACAAAATCTTTGCACTGTTTACTCTGAAAATATTCTCTCTCCCTTTCCAGAAGTGCACTGTTTACACGCAGGCAAACGCTGAGATTTTACAAGTGTACGTGCTTGCGCTTTTTGTGCTTTGGGCACAGCTGGCAATGCTGATAGGAGGGCTTCTATTGTACAGACGCTTGCTGCTTAGAAAGTAGAAATTTGCTGAGAGTGGCACTGGGAGCCCAGCAATTCTCCCTTCAGTGAGGCTGGGAACTGCCGGCAGCGGCTGAGCTGTACTCGGCAATGTGTGTGTGCGGGCTCGCAGCAGGACCAGGGGTGCTGAGGTGCTGGTGCTGTTACTTAGAATATTTCAATTCTTTAAGCTTTTTTCTTCCTTAGCAATACTTTCCAAATATAATTATTTAGAAGAAAACCTGAATTATGTTATTTTGCAGATGATTGGAAGCCTGTTTTCTTCCTTTTGCCGTGGTAGATCTGTTAACATCAGTGACTGTAGCTGCAACTTGCTTGTCGAGGTGTAGCTTGTCTTTGCTTTTATGGGATCAAGGCTGTTATGGTATTTTTTGACCTGATTCTCACAGGATTTCCTTTTGTTTGCTGTACTGTTCTGTATGCCAGTTTCCCTGTAAATGTTGTGAGAACTGGCAGTATGGGCCTGATGCCAAGGGTAAGGGGCTAATAGAAATACATTTATTTTTATTTTGGAAGCTCTTGCAATTCACACTTTGCTGGCAGGGCAGGTATGGTGTTTCACAGAAGAATTCCTTTCTCATCATTTTGATTTCAAAGTGCTCTAACAGGGTCCGTCTACAGCTCTAGGCATGGCAAATGACACACCAAGGCCAGGATTCATTCAACAGCAGGAGATGGGGACACAGCAAATGTGAGTATGAGGTCTGTCCAGCATAGCAGCACTGCTCTGGCATCCCTGGAGCAGGGTGTGATGGCCCTGGTGGGGGCTAAAACAAGGTCCTGTTTCTATTTTCTGAGTGCCAAGCCAGTGCTGTAGCCATTCTGCTGTATTGCTTACTCAGTATTTTGTTCTAGGGAGCCTGAAGGTATGTTGCTGTAACCGAACAATGCCTCCTTCGTGAGATCTGAGATGCCTGCTCTTGCAATACCTGGCTGTGTCATGTGTGCTGAGCTAGGGACAGAAGTGCTTGTGAGCCCTTACAGTAGCTGAGGGAGCTCTGACTCCTGATCCATGGCTGTGCTCAGCAGGCTCCTGCCGCGGAGTGTGAGGTACATAGCGCTGTCACAACAAGGGTCTTTCAGCGAGACTTGGCAACTTTTGCACCCAGGACTGTGCAGTCTGAGGGCATAGAGTTTAAGCTGGAGAGATACTTGATGAGAGGTCAAGATGGTTATTTGCATCACTGATGAGATGATTAGTAGGTGGTGTTCGTGGCTCTCATTAGAGACTTGTGGAAGATTGGTATTAAACAGAAAAGATCTCTGTGTCTGTGTGTAATTTATGAGGCCTTCTGCTGAAACCTCCATTCATACGCTCAAATGTTCCACACTGGCAGTGGGGAAGAGAAACTGGAAGATGCTAATTATGTCCTGTGCTGTCAAATAGAAATAAAGGTGGCCGTGGCATGTGTTCTGCAGAGGCTTAGATGCTTCTCCATGTTGTGGATCAGCAGTGTACTGCAGGGCCAGTGTATGAAGAGTGCAGGGGAATCTGATTTTCATATCCTCTGTTTAGAACTGAAGATTGGCTTTCTTTATATAGAAATATTTGTATTTTTATAGGTGAAATCAAAGGGCCAGGCACTTTGGTCGAAAACTGTTTGTTCTTGGTATTTGTCACGTGTATAGCTGACTGAATTAATCAAATGGAAAATGCTTTTTCCCAAACCAGAAAAATTCCACAAAAAGAAATGTATTCCACCTATTTTTTTACTTTAAAAGCAAAATATAAAAAGATCCCTCTTCTCTCCTTCTCTCACTCTCTTTCTTCTATGTTTCTCTTACTGGCAAAATGAGAAAAGTCAAAGCCTGAAGAAAAAGGTTTGGGTGGGCATTCACACATGTATGTATGGAGGAAAAAATCAAAATATATGGATGTTTCTGACTTACCACAGATAAGCTAGTGAAAATCAGTGATTTATGTAAATGTACTTCTATGACAAAGAAGCATTTAACAACTTGCAAGTTATTCCACTTTGTATTCTGTTGGTAGATAAACATAGGCTTAATTCTCCACTTACTTGCCCTTTCATATCCTTTTCTGACTTACAGAACAGTTGCATTCATTTAAAACTAGTCTAGGGTATTGAATAGCCATGTCTGGTTAATTTTGTTTTAGCTCATTAGCTTTTTATTTTTTTTTTCTAATGTGGCCACGACAGGTGGTGGCAACTTCTAGCTCTGAAGTGTGCAATGCTCTTCTTTGAGTGTCCTGACCTGCCTGCTGCTTAGCTGTCCCTGGATCACAGCTCAGGAAGCCTCCCTTCTCCATTTTGTTCATGACACACGTGTCTGAGCAGAAGCCAGTAATGGCTTTCAGAGGGTCTGAAGTCACGGGGGTGATATGATGCATACTTTTGAGATGTATCAGCTTCCCCCTTGTGTAAATCAAATCAAACAGGGTAAGGTGCGGATCCTGTTTTGTTTCAGCATGGCTTGCTTATTCAGTGGAAAGGATGTGTGCAGTCATCTAGATGGATGAAACCATCTTGGAGCGTTTCGGTAATATCACACATGACAGAAATTCTGAGCTTCTCTGTGTGAAATACCTCTCTTCCAAGAGAGGAGAATCCTTGACAGTACTTTCAAAACCTATTAGGAAATTGTGGGTTAAATAATTACTCTATTTCCACATTAACGTTTTCGTTTCTTGCCACTTTTCCAATTGTGGCAAGATTTGCAGGTAAGAAGCTGAAAAAGAAAAAAAGTATAAGGGGGCAGTTGGTTTGTTTGGGGTTTTGTTTGTTTTACTTCTTTAGTGTGTCTTGTCTGCATCTGACTCCTGGCAGGGTTTTGTGACCTTCAGTGGATCTCATCAGTATTTTCCACTCAGAGTCCCCCGGGCAGACAGAAACCTACACGGCAGAGCACTGAAAACTCTGAACTGCCCAAAAGGAACGGCATCTTGCACCAGCTCTTCCTTTTTCCTCCTGTGTTGGTGAGCACTGAGGGGCATTGTTTAAACCAGGTGAGCTTTACTGCAAAAGGAAAAAGGAAAACAACATGAAACCTTAAATGTTTGGAGATAATTATGAAGAGGACTGATCACTCCTGTAGCTCCTCAGGACAATCCTGCATTTATTGCTGACCTTATTTCAAGACATTTTTAAAGTTTTTGGAGTTCAGCTTCATCTGAAAACAGAACAGTGGTTTGGTTTTAGTACACCTAGGAAGTGGGGGTTAATCTTGTGTGTTAGGATACGTGTGTTTAGACTCTCTTCAGCTTGAATATTCTTGGAATATTCTCAAAGTGAAAACTGGGAGTCACCTAGGCATTAGCTGAAGAAGAAAAGGTCTTAGGCCACAGAAGTCATAAACAAAAGAAATGCAAGTTGCAGTTCTTTAGTGTTGCATAAAAGGAAACTACTAAATATGTTCCTTTGGTAAGCAAACCAGTTTGTGAACTGTATTGTATTATTTTTTTTGGTAAATGTTCCCATTTCATCAGCTCCTGTTCTAAGATAGGTTTCTGGCACCTTACCTTCTGCAGCCAAAACTGTGGAGATTAGCTCAGCTGGTTAGAGCCTGGTGCTAATAACACCAAGGTTGTGGGTTCAATCCCCATATGGGCCATTCACTTAAGAGTTGGACTCTGATCCTTGTGGGTCCCTTCCAACTCAGAATATTCTGTGATTCTGTGAAAAATGTAGAAGAAAGAGGTTTATCAGTACAGCAGTTTCAGCGGATTGCGTGGAATCTCAAACTGGTTATTAGGTCTTTGAATTATTGGGTGATGTATTTGGTAGCTGGTATTCTGTATCAGAAGTACATAATGTAAATAAATTTGATTAGAATAGTGCTCATACGCTTTCTGTCAGTCTTTTGACTATATTTTTCTAGTTGTGTAAAGCACAAAACTTCGGGTATTGGCAAAATCTCTTCCTGTGAATGCTTTTCCTGTAAAAAGCTGGTGCAAAGTAGTTCTGTCCTGTCAAAGGGAATGACTAGTAGGTGTGCTGCGCCTCCCAAATCCATACAGGTCTCTGTGCCACTTTAAAGGATGCATGCTGATGATGTAGTTGTTCCTTTATCACAGTTCAAGGTTCCCTCTTTCGCTGTGCCTTGACTGCAACTAAAAGACCCGCTTACAGATCTTACACTGGTAGAGGAAGGTAAACGTAGCATCCACCTGCCCTTGCTTCTTAAGAAAGGGTACTTAGCATCTGGGAGGCACAAATACCATATTGCAACCTTTGCTCTCCCCAGGAAACCTGAAGCAAATCAGAAAAAGCTAGAGAAATGGGGTCTTGTAATCCACACAGCATCTGCCTCCTAGGTCTTAGCGCAGTGGCTTTTTGAAAGCAATGAAAATAGATGGCCATATGCCCAGTGCAAGAACTTATTCACTCCACTGTATTTATTTTTATAGTGAAATTGCATTTTCATATCTCCGTGAGAGAGACTGTAGCGGGATACAAATGCAGTGAAGCATTTCTTTCTGTGGACATAGCGACTTGGGCACAGATGTGATGAAACTTGCTACTCTCTTCATGAAAACACATTGAGCTGGGAATACTGCTGTTTTGCATCCTCTCTAAGGAAATTTGGCAATGCAGTTGTGGTGGATGGAGATTGTATTTCTTTACGCGCCAGATCGACATTGCTATACAAGAAAAGATGGTTGAACAGGCATAGCTTCAGTGAAGTGTGTCCATGATTTCAGTGAAACATGGGATTCCGAACCACTTAGAAAATAAGAGTATTATTCAATGGAAATTTAGTTTTACTTTTCAGTGACTCAGGAATGCTAACACTAAAGATTTGAGTCATGTTTCTTAAAGATGTTTTAACATGACTTTCAAAGTTATAGGTACATTTCACTGCATTGAAATTAATATGCGTGTAAAAGCCTCAGAGTACAAAGTCTGTGCTTGTGAATTGGGCAGTTAGTGGCTTGGCCCCACCTGCATTTTGTGTTTGCATGCAAAATAATTTGTATTAGCAGTAGAGCATTCCGTGTGCATATAAAGTGTGTTACAACTAGTCTACACACAACCAAAGTAGGTCTGAGAAATGTAGGAGGCCATGTAGGTAAGCCTGGCTACTTGCTAGAGCTCACTAGATTGTGTCTTGTCTTAAAAACAAAAGAGGGAAAAACAAGACAGAGGTGAGATAGTGGGAGTTATGTGGTTGTTGTAGTTAGGATCCAGTCTGCTTCAAGTAATGCAGTGTGCTGTTGATGTTAGAGAATTACACAGGGCTCTGTTTCAACTGATCTCCAAAATGACTCAGTGTAAGAACTGAGGTCATGTGGATTATTTTTAAAAGACCTGTTGGACTAATTAGGCTATGTTATGTGGCATAGTGTTAGTTAAGCATGCCCAGAGTTACTGATAAGAATTCAGCCTTTAATCTTCTGCTGGAAGCAACTTCCCTTCAAGATTCAGAGATGTACAGCAGTTGTAACATATAAAACCCAAAGCATTATAGAAATTAAGGGAGAAGGAAAGAAGCTGCATAAAGTAGAAGGGGAATTAATTATATGACAAGGGACACACTGAACAAGCAGATGGCTCAGTGTTGCAGGGAACAGATAGGTTGCATGAGTGTTTAGTGACTACTTTGACTGAGTCTGTTCATGTGCTTATAATATATATCTATCTCTAAAAATTTGTGGCTGCTGTGATTATGTATAATGTATTATGTAGTTGTTTGAACAAGGCAACAGAGAAAGTAAGACTTCAGACTCTTGCTTCTTTTGTTGGTTACAAACATTGAGTTCCTCTTTCACCGCCTCCAGACTCCAAATGTTGCTTGTATGTTATCTGTATTCTCCCTTGCTTCCTGCTTGCTCTCTGTCCCTACCCACCTCTGGCCCCTGCCCTGGCCTCCAGCTCCTGTAGGGAGTCCAGTATCTTTTCTCCTGTTCCTTTCTCCATCCTCTTCATACCCTCTGTTAATCTTCAGTAACACGGATGTAAACCAGGCAGATTTTTAGTTCCCCATTAATTTTTGTAGCATATGTATTTTTGAATTTTTTTTTAAATTTAAGAAAGGTGTTTGTCCAGTGTTTGTTTCCCGATAGTGTAAATGATGGGTGAAGACCTTAGAAAAAGAATATTTCTACAAAGAAACTCTTAGCATAAACCTTGCCAAATTTTAGGTGGCTGAAAAAAGTTGTCTCTTGACCCATAATTCCAGAGAGGTAATTTTATTGAGGTTTAGACTCAGGTTTTATACTGCAGGAAGTCTGTGTCCACTAAGGAAAACCATCATCTCTTACATACTGTTGACTGTCCAGAGGCAAATTTCAAGTCTGGAAGTGTGTGTCCGTGTGCTAGTGGGAGGGCTCTGTCAAAGTTGGGTCTTTGTACTGCCAGACCAGGGGGCAATGTGATCAGATGAGACAGGACATGCAGTGGAATGATTCCAGTGGTTTTTGACAATTGCAGGAAGACAGAGGACTACCTGACTTCACAAAGCCTGCTGGGCAAACGTATTGAGCCATCAAAAGGCTTTGAAGAAATCCTGTTTTGTGCCTGTGGTATGTATGTATGGGTGTTGGATGCTTAAAGACCATCTTTGCTTTTGTGTGACATGTCGACCCTGTGCTGGCATAGGTTACAGGGTGGCATTGGATGTCCCAGCGTGGTGTTCTTCCTCTAGTTCAAGATTTTTGATTGGATTTTGATGCAGAAGAAATAACCCCTGCTGTCAGTGAACCACGAGGGGGTACAATGTTGTATACAACATGTCCCAAGAACGTGGTATTCCAGATTAGCAGTGGTGGCCATTGTTGGGTCCAGAGCAGTTCTTTCCTTTTCAGCAGTGCCTGGTGTTGGCACAGTGTAGGCTAAACTTATGCTGCCTGAATACCATCTTAACTAACTTCTTGTTCTTTGGTACTATTCAGTCTTCCCAGCATAGACAAACATCACTGCATTTATCCTCTTCAAGGACTGTTTTTACTCGCTACTTTTTTTTCCTTCACCCTTCCCCCCCACCCAGTGACACCTTCAGTAATGTTTCATTGCCATGCAAAAGGAGGAAAGCACATTGTCAGCAGCCTACTTCAGACAGAGAAATTTATATCTGTGAGAAGCATTATGTACAGAACAGCAATTACTCAGATCATCAATATTTATATAGCAGATAATAGTTGTCATGGACAAGATGAATATTGTCACAAGAGTGATAGCTGTGGGAGGGGGATGCAAAATATAATTGTTAGATTTCTTTAAATGGGATAATTATTTAACTTTCAAGTGATTGGTGAATACAGCTTAGAGTCTGAATTAAATATCCAGTGGGAGTTCATCAGCTTGTAGTAAGTAAAGGAAATGCCCGCTCCTGTCTAAGCTCATGTCACATGGTGAAAGCTGCCTGGGATGTTGTCCTTTAGATATGGCTTTAGCTGAAGGCAATGATGGGGCCCTCCTAGAATGAGGAATCATATAAAATAACAAAAAAGTAATCAAGCAGCTTGTTTGGAAAATTAATTTTTGTTATGTCTGCCATGGACAGACACTTGTGGTTGAGATGGAGACATGGTTGCATATTCCTTGATTTTAAAAGCATACTCCGGTGTTTGGTGAAACATGGCCATCCTTAGGGCAGATTTTTTACCACAGCTTTCCAGCATCCTGCCTGCCAGTTGATGTGCCTCTGGCTGCCTTGGCACTGCCTGACTGGACAGGCAGCCCAGTGAGTCCCTGCCTGGCCTCCTGGCCAGAGGGACAGCCTAGGTCGTGGCTTCCTGTTTGCACAGGAGATGCAGCTTCTGATTTCTCCAAAGAGAATGCCTCCCCTCACCCACCCTTTTTAACCTTTTGTATGGCAGCGTGATAATTTGGAGAGCTTTCATTCATTAGCAAGAATGCTATCCTGTTCTGTTTTTGAGACATATTAAATCAAAAACTAACTTCATGTGGGCTGTTTGCTACAGGCAGTTTATTTACTGACTTTTTTCTTCTGCTTGTGAAATGCCTCTGAATAGCTCTATTTTTTGTTTACACTCACTGACCCTTC